AACATATCTAAAATCACCCACGCCCATCCAATATTATAAAATACGAAAATTTATTTATTTTTTTGTTTCTTTTTTTCAATCTTGCATAGGACAGCAGCGATGGGTATAAAAGATTCGTTCGCAACCGAATATAATTTTCTTACTTGTTTCGATTGAAAATGAAATTTGCTTCATTCACTTACTTCCTTCACGCTCGTTAATCGTCACGGATGGGTTTCCCTAGATGCAGGCATAAAGATCAAATGATGCTTGCTTTGGCAATCGAGCAAAAAACCTTAACACCGGGAATGTGTTCTCCATTTACGTTACACTGTAGGCGTGGCGTTTAATCGATTTGACCCCTTTTTTAATATCCAATCCACATAGAAGAAACACCAACCATTTTGGCAAATTTTGACAAAGGCTTTCCGCAAATGTGCAGGGGGCACAAGTGAATGTGCCTACGCCGATATAGCATTTAATACTTACGAAGAGAACACATACTTTATAGCATCTCTAAAGCTTCCTTCCGGATATTGCAAATATTTTTGCAAAGATAATCATCCGCTCCTCCATCCGCTCGCTGATGACTGCCGGAAGATATTAAGTGAAATAGTTTTTTAAGTAATTCTAAACAATGTCGTCTTTCGTCAGTGAAATTTACCTTTCGACAATGTTTGCAATGACTATATGGATCCGGTTGGACGATTCGCTCAAGCGCTTATTGCATTCCTAATTGCCTTTTAGAGCCTTGAAAACTATTTCTTTCCTCAGGTCAATGAATAACAAAAATATTGGCAGTTGTTTGAAGGAGGCGGCGCAGATGACATTATTTTGCATATACGATTCGAATATTGACCTTTATTTTAGATCACACATTTACAAAAGCCAATTCCATGGCGAACTTTTTCAAAGTTTCAATTATTTTTGCTTTGCTGTAGAAAAAATTATATAATCTATAGGTAAGAAGCGTCCATCTAAAATAAGTTTTAACATCTTTGCTTTTTAATAAAAGCAAATTCATGTCAAAGAGTTTTCAGTTTATCACAAAGCTAATGAAAGCAACCTGCATATTATAAGAGACCCATATATTCGAGTTTGCTCTACCGCAAAATACGTTCGAAAAGTTTAACTTTCGTTACAGTCGACGCGCATGCCTTGCACGCTCCCCAGAATAAAGGAATGCATATGCATACGCATACGCATATGCATTTTTCCCGCCTCGTATTTAGCTCTCATCAATGTAATCATAATGTTTAACCAAGTTGAACCGTACAAGAAAAAATGTATTCTTTGTTCTTGCTTTCATAAGATAATGACTTTCTGACGACCTCGAGAGCCAAATGTCACAAATGTACGTTACAATAATAACCGAAATTGCGATAAGGCAAAGACACTGACATCAACACATAGCGAGAAACATAAGAAACAGAAAAACGTAAGACAAATGTGTGAATACAAATAAATAAACTGAACCATATGGACAGTAAAGTAAGTAAACAATTTAACAGAAGGCATGTATGAGGCTCTCCCCCCCCCCCCCCTCCCGCCCCGCGCGCCACGGTCTGTTCTACAAGTAAACATTCGTCTATCGTAGAGAGGCAAGCTTGCCCATATTTACGTAAGCATATATGTGAGTAAGTAAAACATGTCAATTAGGACGAGCGAAGGCACTAAAAAAAGGAAAAATACCTTTAAGAAACGCTAAGTTAACGTTAATGCACGATGTAGGTAGAGGTACAATTTACCATTTTCAAGTAAACAACAATTCATTCCTAAATATAAAGTGTATGTCCGATAAATAGATAAACTAACTTGTGTAAATATATTTACAATTTTTCACTCACTCACGATGACATAACATACGAGACAATTTTATACCTTTCTAAGATGAGTTGAAAAAACGGAAAAAATAAAATTCTTTTTCTTAATTATTAGGTCATACCAGATGACAATATAAGAAAAACACATTAAAAGCAGAAATCTTCATGGTGTCATCGGTTTGGTGTCATTTCTCTACGCACACAACCAATATGACAAATAACAAATGCATTAGACGTTGCCTGATGCGTTGCGTGCTATCCCATATATACATGATCCTATCTTATGCATTAAACATTGTAATTCAAATAAAAAAAAAAAAAATAAAAAAAAAAACCTAATCAAAAGGAAAACAACTCGGTTTTCTATTTTACAAAAACCGGAACCCATTGGTAGCCATTCAATGTTATTAACAGATCGTGACTGTTCTCGCCAAAAATTGAAATTTATTGTAATAAACGAAATATACAACCAAACATTCAAGGCAAAATTTATCAATTTTTGGCGAAACCTTAAAGATACGCGCAGTTTGGCATTATCGTAATGGACGAGAACACCTTTTCCATTGATCAATTTCTATGCACTTGACCTTAAAAGCGCGTTATAATTGCTTTAGCAATTGATAGGATCGAGCAAAGTCAATCAGTCAGTCTGGCCACATTGAAGCAACAATCCTATAAAACACGAAACACGAAACACGAAACATTAACTTATGATATATGTGATAATTCGGACTTGGACACCGTTTATGTACGTACGTGTTAATTCATTATAGGCCACGATGTTTTTCGCATGCACGTCGCACTGTCGCATGTCACCCATTTGCCTTTTGAAACGATTCTAAAATTGTTTCTTGTTCAAGGTTTAGTAGTTTGACGATATCATAAGACGCGAATAAGCCGGAACTTGGGAATTCGACTTTTAATATTTTGGTCAAATTTGAATCCGATAATTATTTTTTTACTGTCAGCAAAATGTTGACAACAAGTATTACACAGACGGACGGACATGCATGCTTCAATGGATTCCGAATTTGATACTGATCGTGAATATGTATACTTGATGGATTCTCTGGAGCATAGAAATGTAGTTTTCTATTATAAAATTTAATTTAAATTCGAAAATTTCCCGCCAGAATATTAATGCGCTCCTTTAGTTACAATTTTACTTCATTTTTTTTTTTTTTTTTTTTTGTTCAAAGCAGCAACTGTTGTTGCACGCGACAAAACGAAAGAAATACCATTAACGCAATATATTAGCTGTAAACCCTAAATATGTTATATTATTTGCAATGCACTTGTGTTCAATGCGATGGTGTTCCCTCTCAAAAGTGCACAACATCCTGTTGCAGACGTTCCAATTAAGTGTTCAAGAAGATACCGAGGGAATAGGGAAGAAAACGTCAACGTTTGCGCGTGCGCAAAACAAAAATAACATCTATAATCTGTAAAAGGGTAACAATCTACACTTTTTGTCTACGTTGCATTTGTCAAGACGGGAGAGCAAGTCCTTTAGGATGCGATGCCAAAAGACATCGAATTAAACTGATCAGCTGCAATGCACTTGTGGCGCTTTTTTTTTTTTCTTATTTCTTTTTTCGTTTTTCGTTTTCGTTTTGTTATTTATTTTTTCAATTTTTTTTTTTTTTTTTTGGTTTTTTTATGTGTTATGAGTATTGTATGTTTTGTTTTTCCTTCATACTCCAGATGAAAGCAAAGATGAATGAGTGTTCATATCCTTGATGCACAGGGCTGCTCAAGATGTTATTATCTGTTTTACCTATAACTTGTGTATATCTTGAGCAGTGATCATGGTTTATTTGCTTTAGGGAAATAATTGGCAGAGAGCACAGGACAAGCACAGGAACACAAATGAACGCAAATGAAAAACAAAAACAAAAAAAAAGTAATGATGATGCATTTGTTACCGCTAATGTTGCACTTTTTCTTTTCTTTTCGTTTTTTTTTTTTTTTGCTTTTTGTTTACCTTTTTGTTTATTTTCGTTTTTTTTTTTTTTTTTTGTTGTTAATTTGTATGTCGACATTGCGTTGCGTGGATGTTGCTTCGCTGAACGTGGCACGTGCCGTCTGTTATTCTTGTTTTACGAGATATTCGTGATGCTTGAAAGATGTTGATGCCGCATGCACCTGCTATTTAAGCGAAAAAATTAACCCATAATTTACTGAATTAGTTTTCAGTTTAATATTAAAAGACCAACAAAGCCCTCATATATAACTTAACATATTTTAATACACAGCCTTGACCAAATTTATTAAATGCATTTTAAATATAAAAAAACTTTCTCGAAATCATCTCTGGAGCGGGAGCATTTCAATGTTCAATGGTTGTCTTCTATGAAAATAACTTTGTCGTCATTTGTTTTCTATCCATTGCTGAATCGAATCAGTCAATGTGGCCGAAAGCGAATGTATCTTTAGCTTTATCTGTGTGCGAGGTATAAACATTACCTGGTTTGCAGACAAATGAAGTCATAAAAAAAAAATTACTGAAGAAATGCTATAACTGTACTGCATGTAATGGCGGCCAAATACTTATTGATAAGTAACTTATTTTCTTCCTTTACTGTAATTGTAAGATCAAGCTTAAGATTGTAGACGAGTATGACAAAGCAGCAAAATACTATTCACTTACGTTATATGATATATCGGAAGACGAATAGCTCACCATATCAAAGCTGCAAAAAAAAAAAAAAAAATGCTTTGAAGACTCTGATCAACAGTCGGGAGCATTTTGCCACTAGAAACTTAGCTTTCCTTTGTTGGTACGATTTTCATAAACGTATTCTCCACCACACACCACCAGGGTATGCAAGACCAAGACAAAACGACTTCAGATGAACTCACCTTTTATTATCCCGATAAACTCATCATCGCTTTCGGCAAAAATTTAATCATGTCCGTCCGTCTGTCCGGCTTGTTTTAGATATTTTGACGAAATTTATTACACTCGCGTATTTTGATCCAAGGATGAAACGCTACTGAAAATTTGATTGCGGATCGAATCACTTTCTCGCGCCCACCCCATATAAAGTTTCAATTTGGAAAATTGTTACATGAATAACTGTAGTACGGTGTAAAGGGTCTTGAACATAGACAATAAACTATAGACTACAGTCTTTTGACTTGTTTTTAACTACATTTTATTCGTTAATTTATGCTTTATAAGTTAATAAATATAATAATTTCTTCTCGTACTTAAGCTACAAATCTTAAATTCAATCTTTTTCGATTGCCGAATTGTCCTGAGGATCGAGACGTTCCATTCGCATCACGACCAAATATATTCCAAAATGGACGGGGTGTTGTAGTTGTTGTTGTAAACTCTTTACGTATAATAATGCAATTAAGATCGGGCTCCTGATCATAATCAGTTTGAGTCGTGGTCACGCCATACGAAGGCTTATCGTCATATTCATCGATACCGGCAAATTGATGTCTTCGATTCTTCTGAAATGTTGATCCTTTTCTTCTATTCGGAACTTTTACACCTCTTCGATTACTTTTTTTATGATTTGTTGGCTTAATCGTCGTCGTAGATACACGACTTTTTATTTTATTATCATTTTTACGTCTATTCTTATTGCCGCTAGTCTTCTTATTGGTCTTCTTTTTATTTTTCGTTTTATTTCGACGTTTATTATTTTTATTATTACTATTTACCAAATCATCGGGAATATCTTCCCAATCATCATCACCGTCAGCGCCGTCGTCGTCGTCATCAATTGACCAAATACCGGAAGAACTAAATTCGTCGCTCGCTTCTTCAAGGCTGCCATAGGGTAGCGGTACTAATGCAAACACTTTCTGAGGCTGCTGTTGAAACTTTTGCGGCTCATATGAGTGCACAACTATTAAGCCATTATTGATTGAAGAGTACTGCGGTAATTGCTGGAAAAATTGTTGCGACTCAGTTCCAGGTTCCTTAATGCCTTCTTTGTTGCTGGTCTCACCGTTTCCCTGATAACCGTTATCATCGTTATTTAATACAGCAGCCAATGTTAATTCATTTGTTTGATTTTTCAAACTATGAAACGGAATATCTTTATCATTGGGATGATTTTCTTCGGCAATTGGTTCAGAGGCATAATAAAACAAAACTTGCTGCTGCCTGGGTTCATCTTCTATCGGCTGAGTAGGCGTTGTACGTTTACGTCTTGTAATTACACACTGGGAACGGCCGTCATCCACTGCGCGACCTTCAATATGAAAACGTTTCACTTCGTATTCATCTCCATTCTCATCCACCTCGATTTTCGTTTCAGCTGAAATGACATGCAATCGTAAAATCATACAAATTTTACATCAATAATTTATCCAACTTGTTATGCGAACAAATTTATTTGCTGTTATTTATGAGTAATGAGCAATAAATCAATTTTTCATTTCTCTTGAAGAGCAGAGGTGTTATCAGTTTACCTGGTGCTGTGGACGTCTCCTTTGACCGACTTGGCCCATTTTCAATACCGACCTGCGTGCAAGAACTTTTGAATAGTTCTGCGAAATTTTAAGCCGATAGCTACACTTTTGCGGCCAGGAGAACGTGTACAACAGACAATACACAGACGGACAGATGGACAAACGAATATGCTAAAATCGATTTAGAATTTAATGCTAATCAATCTACCGTGAACTATTTTGTTTTTAATTGTTTTTAAAAGTAGGTAGGAATAATAATCGGTTATTAAAAAGAATGATGTATCGTTTAAAGCCAAACAGCAAGGACGGAGTGAGTCTCTGCCGCTGGCACGCCAAAGCTTCAAAATGCATTTTAAAAACATCAAGAGTAAACTGCTGCAAATTGTCCATTAACAATAACAAGATTCTTTACGAAAGTTGTGTGTATTTCCTATGTATTTGCTCTACACTTTTTTTCAGCCTTCATTCATATCATCCAGATCACTGCACTTTACGTTTAAGAAAGTTAGAAAAGCTTTATTCCTATACTTGCGATTGCATCATTGATTTGTTTTATTATACCTCACACCACTTTTGTTAAACTAGTACGTGTGTATGTAACACTTGGATGGATCTGAGATTGATGCACCTTTTGCTGTACCGATTCATTCAGAATCATCTTCAGAATCATTTGATTCATGCTTGTTTGTTCATCTGTCCGCCTGTCCGTCTATTCGTCTACTTCGACACTATGGAGAATGGTTCTGATCGAACACTTTGTCGACCTCTTCCCATAAAACTGCTTGCTTTGCAATGTCGTTCCATGAACTAACTAACTGCGGGGGAGGGTGCAATGGCACACCGTGTTTCACTGTGGTATTTTTACTTCCTTCTCATGTAATGAATATCTCTGTAAATTCCTAGTTCGGTAATGTCAAAGCTGATATAGGCTGAGGGATCAAATTTCATCTAATCCACGATATATAAGACTTTGAGAATACGAATTCTAAATACAAGCTCAGTGATTGCTCACCGTTTTAATTGTATGTCAATGGAAAGCAAAATTTTAAAATAAATTTTTTGAAGCAAAGCATAAAAAAATAATCATTTCTCAGTAATCATATGAATAAAGTTTGCAAACTATCGATCATCAAAGCTGTTTGATAAACCTTTACTTTTATTTGGAATCTATTTTCTTCATTAGCCAACATGCCACACATTGGACTGTTGAACTAACACTTTTCAGTTGTGTACTTAAAGATTCTTTTCTATTTCAGCTTAACTCAATTGCTACCAATCAGATCGTTTACGTATCCGGTACACGTAATTTAATTACGTTGCTTTAACAATATTAATATAAAGTCTGCAGCCATATTTAAAATTTCCAAAAAAAATCTAATTTTGTTTGTTATTCCATATTTATATATATCCAGTAAACATGTCTCATTCAAAATTCTCTTGAATATATGCGGAAGGGCGACCGAATAGTTTGAAATTTACAAAAATTCTAGGTATCAATCAGTGTAAAACATATGCCAAATAGTCGATAAAGCAATAAGTTTGTAACGTATTTTCTCAATAGATGATAACTTTAATAGATAATTAATTATCTACAAACTGTTACTATTTACAAACACTACAGTATGGCTTAATAGGTTAAATGCTATCAAAGTTATCATCAAAGGAAGAAGAAAAAACATCACAACAGCAGTTAGTCAAAAGTGAATGCATTAATGCACGAGCTGACGTTGGCTAGAAACGCAGCTAGGTTCAGCATGAAAGTAAATTTTTTTCAAAAAATCTTAAAAAAACACATTATTCTCATTATAAACTCAAATTTAATTAAAAAAATTTGTAAATAATTATCTCACCCAACTTCTTTCAATTCCATATCCTGGCCAAATATCTAGATTTATAGCGGCTCAAAGTGATTGTATTTTAGTCTAAAAAAAAAAAAAAAATAGTACACCCTAATAAAGAGCTTGCCAAACCCGTATATGAATGAACGGTGATGGCTTTTGTGTCTATGCTTTATAAGTTCATGTTCATAAACTGTAGACCAACGGAGTACTTATCAGGACGACAGGGGTAAGGTCGCAGTGTTAAATGGTCTTAACTTACCAGATAATACACGCAACATACTTTGCAAGCTAAAATTGCTCCCTGGACAACTATATAACTTTGCCCTCTAGACGAGTATAACGATTAAGAATATTTTTACCTAAAATATTACAACAAACTGATATTCAGGATATATTGGTTTATCAAAGACATGCAACGTCTGCTACAGTTTACTATCGTTTCAAGAAAAGATAAATGAAAGGTGATGGCTTGCTTGTCTATGCTTTATAAGTTCATGTTAAACTATAGACCATCAATATGGATAGTGGGTCTAAAAATTCATAATTCACAGATTTTTGATTCTATTTACTAACGATTCCGCTTTACTAGGCTTTTAGAAGGACGTCAATGTCTTGCCGAATCTATTCCTATCAAAACTAACTTAAAGGTTAACGTAATTGAATAAATAATTTTTGCTTTTATTTTTTGTACAAAGTTCACAAGTACTTTTCGAATTTCGCAAAACACAATCTTTCTCTTATTACATTTTATTATGATCGCCATCCCAAGCATCAGCAACAGAACACACAATTTTCTAAACATTGCAAACTTTATTTATTTTTTTTTTGTTGTTATTTTTGTTTTCTAACTGTTTTAGCTTAAAGATGAGCAGAGAATTATTAAACTTGAAGGCCAAAGAAAGAGCAACGACTAAAAGAAAGATTAAAATGTCGGCCAACTTTTATAAGCTTTGAATGGTAATCTGAAATCAATAGCAAATTTTAATTTGCAATGCAAATTACTATCTAAGGCTTACAAATTTAAATATTGTGAAAGTTTACAAATAGCTATCTCGTCGGAATAATGGTTTCCAAGAAAGAAAAAAACAAAAAACAATTAAAATAAAAAACAGGTAAGAAAGTTATTTTGCCCTCAAGGGAATAACTCACTATCCTCCGGCAAGCAAAGTGAAATTGTTAACAGCGCTACACTCATTAAGGGAAGGAAGAGGTTTACTAAATGCATCATTCCGTTTGTAGCATCCTCAGAACGACTTAGCTTCAACGAAACCTTTTATTTATCTAGCGTGCGAACACAAATCATATCCGATCTGATGAAGTTTTATAAACCGCAAAAGAGGAAGGAGTGTTACTAAACTTTGCTATTCATAAGCTGCATCTCATACCAAAAACAGCAACAACATAACAACGGTGTTCTTATCAGGACGACAGGAGTAAGGTGGCAGTGTTAAATGATCTTGATTTACCAGATAATACACGCAACATGCTTTGCAAGCTAAAATTACTCCCTGGACAACTATATAACTTTGCCCTCTAGACGAGTATAACGATCAAGAATATTTTTACCTACAATATTAAAACAAACTGATATTCAGGATATATTGGTTTATCAAAGACATGCAACGTCTGCTACAGTTTACTATCGTTTCAAGAAAGGCTCGCTAAGTTAAGCTATTGGCAGACTTTGATTTGTTATTTCAGCACAAGCTTTTATTGCATCAAGGCCCTCAAATAGTTGAAGATGAAAAACAATAGCCACAATTGGCCCCTCAGCATATCCGTATAATACGAAATAGCGCGTCATCTTCTCTTGAGTGCGCTCTTTACGCTTTAGAATTTGTTCCTACTTGCTTTGCTTGGCCCTTGTTGTATGCTTTAAACTTCATTTCATTTGTTGTTTGTTGTTGTCCAATTGAAAAGATCCACCAAGATGGCCAAGATGGAGGCCAAACCTAGGCAAAAATCAAATCACCAACATTCACACGCGTTTAGGGAATTATGATAAGCATTGCTGCGTCAACGCTCAGATAATTTGCATTTACAGTAAGGGAAAACAGCTTTATTTTTATACCTTCTTTTCCCCGTTTACTGACTTCAGCAGTAATTGTGTTTTGCGAAAGTGCATGAAAAAAATAACGTACTCCTCATCCTTCTAAGGGAAGATGAAATAACTTACGATAAGTAAATTGCATTTAAAACGAGGGAATGAGTCATTTTTCATCCGTCCTGCGATTTGACCAAATCTATGTAAGCTTAAGAGCAAAACTCGTTCATATGAGAACAAAAATTAATTATGCTCGGCATGGAACATCTTATGCAAGTGTTTTCCAATCGATCCAAAATTTCTTCACTCTGACAGGCCAATAATTTCATAGCCGTCTTACGTACGTAATTTCTAAAGAAATAAAGTATTTTCTAATATTAAAAGTATCTTAGGAGATTTTATCTTCAAATTTCAAAGGCTGTAGTGCACGTTGTTTATGTGTGTTAATGTGAATTTGCATTTAAATTTCAAACATGATGGATGAATGGTCAAAATTTGGTCTAATTTAAATAAATAAAACTTTGTTTTTTTTTTTGTTTTTCGTCTTTATTTCGTATAAAGAAAATGTTTGATTATAGCGAATGTGATATTTTCGGAAGATAAAGACAGAAATTTTTTGCATGCATAATATTTGTCTTCACATTTAAACGAGTTTTTTTATAATACATTCATATACGTATAAAAGTTTATACATATGCTTTCATTTGTTTATGTTTTTTAGAAAAGTTTATTGCTCTGGAAAAAAAAAAATTAAAATTTCTACTGAAAAATTTTGATTCGACTGAAGCTTATTATCAATTAAAACTATTTAGTTTATTTTTTCAAAGAGAAGAAGAGCCGATCGATAGTCTTGGTTGCTAGTACTAAACCTACTGTTTTTTAGCCCTAAAAACTGTAACAAGTGAAAACACGCTTTTGTGCTACGCTTCTGTGTGTGTGACACGACCCGCCCATTAAATATTCAACGGCATTCCATGGGAAGTGATGGGAAAAGTGATCAGATCTGGGCCAAAACATGTCATTGTATAAAACACACGCACAATATCTCAAAGTTTTATGATGGACAGACGGACAGACAAATATATTACATGGCTCGTCCACCTCAAGTACTTCTGCGTGTCGCCTACGTTCGCACAAACTTTCACCACAACTGATGTAGGGTATCATAATAGTAATGAGCAAGAAGAAACTTAGTAGATATGTCATTCTATTGGAAACACCCAGAGATATGCGTTAATTCGTCCTTTCAATAAAGCAAATCTTAGAAGAAAAAGTTTAAAGTTACTTTACTACCCACAATTAGGACTTTATAAATCGCTTTGAATCGCTAATCAATAACTCAGCAGTTGCTGCAGTTGCCTACATCACCCTACAGTTATTCAAAGTAAAGCATTCTACGGGAAATGGTTGGAAAGGTGATTCGATCGCCCTTGAGCCAAAACGTAAAACATTTCAAAATTAGTTATAAATAGGTTGAGCACAAAAGGCAAGAAGGACAAACCGACAGATAGACTTAAATCGACTCAGAAAGTAATTCTAAATTGATCAGTAAAATAAAAAATAAAACTATCTCAGGTCCTTCTAGTTGTTGCATACATCCGCAAATGCTTAATACACACTTACATCGTACAATAGTGTGAAATATATAGAGAGTATATGCTAATCTATAGAATTTAAGAATAGAAGATTAATTGATGGTATGATTAAAGAGCTGGAGAAAGAGAATATTTATTAAACATAAAATGTATCTTAGTTTAGAAAATTTCAATGAATTCATTGAGTTAATTGAGTCAAGTAACATACGGGGAAAGCATGATATGAACAATAAATACGTTACTCTAACCAAAATTTTATTCGATCGGCGCAATTGAGATTTTATCGTTCGATCTCGGGCGAAGTTGGTTGGTTGGATAATAAGTTCTAGGATTCTAAAATAGTAAATGAAATATGACACGCGATCGCAACTATCTGCAAATCATGAAAAACTTTCATTAAATTGGCTATGATGGGAAGACAAAGAAGATTAAATAAAAGCAGTTTGCATAAATCGCTAAGAATTCCTGGAAATTCATGATTTACATGCGGTTTTTTTTTTTTTCTTTAAATAAATCAAATGAGTTGGAACGTATGCATGCGTTGACAAGAACTCAAACGAAACGTTTGAACAGCATCGAAGGTCCAACCGAAGAATGCTAATTGCAGATCATCGATATCTCCGAACAACGATAGTACAGTACTCTTACGTAATCATCGATACACTGCATGTACTTACATCAATTAATCAATTTGCTTAAAAAGTTCATCTTAATTATTATACTCTACAACGACTTGAGATAGACCCGCATCTTATCAGACATGCTTCTCGTATCGATCTAGGGTTGTCTGTCCGTATGTCCGTCTTGTTTTCTTATGTTCAATTCCTAAGATATTTTAATGAAATTTGATACACTGACTATTGGAAATGATTCGGATCGGATCACTTTTTCAATCACTCTCTACATAAAGCCTCAATTTGAAAAGTCGCTCTATAAATAACTGAACTAAACGAAATAACGTTGCGTATTCAATAGCGGGCCAAGTCCCACTATAGTATTTTTTACTTGTTCTCATTGTTAAATTGAAATCGTACGATGTCGGGCAGCGCAGTACAAAAAGAATTTGCTTACTGCAGTTGTAAGCTAGAATTTACTGTAATTGTACTTTACGGTATCCTTGGCGCGTATTCCTCATTGATACGTATCCTAGGATCGCCTTTTATAAGTCACAAGAATTTCGAATGTCTAAATACTTTAAAATGCTACGGTATTCGCACAGAAGTCAAGCATAAGTGATAACACTAAAAATATTTTGACATTAATTGCAAATTATAAACGAAATCATTAAAATAAAATTTAAGCGAATCATAGGAAAAATCAAATTAAAATTCAACGCATATTCCATTGGGATTAAAAGAAAAAAATAAATAAATAAATAACAAAATAAACTAAAATCGTTATTAAACAACCCTAACACAAAAAAAAAAAAAAAATAATAAATAAATAAATAAATAAAATAAAAATTAAAACGATATAAAGTTTTTTTGTATTAATTCATAAATATTCACGCATGCGACAAAATTTACATCAAAGAAAAGCACCGGACTACATATATACAGCATATATGTCTATAATAAAAAGTAGTTTGGCTGACGATTGGGCAAACGCAACTATGATAGAGACGGCTGGGCAACTACCAACTTATCCTAACTGTCCATGAAATAAATACTGATTGGGTCGTGCAGATTTCATATTTTCTTACGTTGTTTATTTATTCATATTCATATTGTTTAGTCATTTAATAATTGATTGGCCAAAAAGGGATTCCCGTCTTGCTTTCTTATGCCAATTTCAGCCAAGTTTACTACAACACCACTTCATTAAATCGAAAAAATCTGCCATTAAATGGAAGCTGGCAATAAATGGAAAACAGATGAAGATAGTTTTACACTATATATATATACATATATATATATATATATATGAATACATTGTCGTAAGGGAACGTACGTCTTCAACCGATCTTACGATTTCTTAACTTTTAGGACTTAGCTTTAATCACTTCATATTAATTGCTGAGAGTATCGGGTAACTTATCTTCGTAATGAATTCAAAAATGAAATCACGGGTGGCGGGTCTTGTCCAATATCTCGGAATATCGTAATGCAATGGAAATATGCATCATGCGCCCATAAAGTTTATACATCCTTGAACAACTTGTACGAGTTTGTCCAGGAAAAACGAATTTATTCTTAATTTTTTTTTTTTTTTTTTTATCAATCTGTCAAGCTAAGCAATAGTTATCCGTAGGTATATCAAAAAACTGAATATTTTCTTTTTCCCCATTCCTCAAGG